CCCTTGTGCCATATTATCTCAGATAGTGTTATTGCTTTCCCTTTAAATAGATCATTCTTCCTTGTGTTTTTAAAAACATTATTCGCCTTTGTATTTTGGATCCATCTGCCTTGCAGCAGTGCTGTGAGTGCTTGTGGTTTTTTTTCATCCAGGCAAAAGAGCGAAGGTAAGAGGAAAAGGAGAAGTAGAAGGACTGTTGAAAATTCAGCTGAGGCATTACCCAAGGTCCTATAGTATAATGTAGAGAATCATGCGTACTCCTTGTTGCGATGATTTTGGGAGGAATACAGGATTTTGTATGCTATATTGGATTCTGATACTGCACCCACCATATGAACCATTTTTAGCATTATTATTATTTTTTAAAGTTCACATATGCCAGAATTTACACCCTGCAATGATTAAAGCTCTGCCCAGCAAACAAAATATTAATTTTCAGTGGTGCTGGAGTCTGGAGAATACAAAGAGAAAAACCTTATGTGAGAACATAGGTTTTTATCTTTTCTGAGGCTGAGTTTTTTTGGCTGTTGTTGGGATAATGGATGGTTGACTTGTAAAATATTTTTTAGTTACAATCTACTCACTACTTTTCAGTGGAGTGTACACAGTAGTGCTGTTTGATTTATCAGTTTCTTGTGTTCCTAGCTGTTTGATATTCCTCTTTCACAATTACATATTTGGGAAACTGGAGTATCATACAGCAGTGAAAGGTAGCTGGCAAAGCTGAAGAGGAAGGCGGTATTGACCACCAGGTCTCTCTCCAGACCGTTATAGTGGGATTTCAAAGCATGCACTCACACCTCGTGGCCCTTGCAGTTTGTATGGTGTGTGTTGAGTGGAGTGAGACATTCCAGTCTACCATTATCAGACGTTTTTTGCAATTAATGTAAAATTAAGAAACAAGATGTGTAAGGAAGGTTACATTCACATGCGTAGCCCTAATTTTTGTCAGCCATTAGTTCTTGTTTAGAATTGAACTTGAAGATTAGTTTGGGTTTTGTTTTTTTTCTTTATTGGATGTGTCTTGTCCAAAATGTATAGCTTTCAAGTTTGTGGAATCAGGCCCATATTAAAATAAATGGGAAGTTGCAGTGGTGGCACCTACAACACCCAGAGTGCAACTCACTGGCTTGATGGGAGCCACAAGGGTGTTCGTGGGAAGTGCCTGTGCACCACGCTCTTCGTAGGTACTGCCTGAGGCGCCTGCTTTCTTTTGGCCAGTGTCTGGAAGGGAAGCTGAGTGAGATGGACCTTCCCACCCACTCTAGCTGTTCCTGGCTTGTTTGGTTTTTTTTACTTTAGACATGTGCATATAGTTCTGCATGATAAATGCACACCTTAGAGATGCCTTTTCTATCCACTGATTCTAAGGAGAGTCTCCCTGTCTACATTAGATCAAAGAAATTCAAGGAATACTAAGAATTTTTTTTACAAGAGATGAGAGTTTGTTTTTCAGCAGATGGCAGTTCCTTTTGAGAAAGAAGCAGCACATTTTTGTGCTGCAGATTTTCTTCAGGATTCAGGAAAACAGTGCTCTGGCAAGTATCGTTCACCCAACCACATCTTTCTCTCCGAAGTCTGGACTCACTTCTGTGAAAAGCTACCCTGTTTTTTAACTTGTGAGCAGGAAGCCGTGCAGAAAGGGATTGAACATTTTTATTTCCCTAAGCAGCCTTCCCAGCTTACCTATGTATCTGCCAGTGGAGTAAGGGGCAGGAATGGCATCTTCCTTGGAGGCTCCTCTCCAACACTGGCTGTACTCAGAGATGTGCTCAGCTTCCCTCTGTAATCCCATGATATTTCTGTATTCCACAGTCCTGTCATCAAGGTCATATTTAAGTCTGAGCAGTGTCATGTGAAAGCTCAGCACACTACACCATTTGTGATTCCTATGTTCATTAGTTTGCAACTAGACAGATAGCTTTGTGTCTTTCATGTAATTAGCACTGTGAAGGTTATCAAGAACAATATTCATGAAAGTTAAATACCCTTTTTCATGGCAAAAGTTAGTTATTAAGAAGTTAATCAAGAAATTAATCGATGAGTATAATAGAAATTGTAATCAAATCTCAGCAAAGTTCTGATTCCAAGTCCTGGTCTAACAAGTTTTATTTAGATATAGAAAAGTAAGCTAGATTTGAAGTCTTGTGGTTTGGGTGCTGATTGCCCCCTGGCATAAAAGCGGCCTCCAGAAGGTTAGTCTAAACTGTAACAAACAGAAAATGTGTTTCCAGTGCAGGCTGACAAACCTGATTTTGCAAATGGTGGGCTAGCACTGTGTTTTCTCCTATCAGGTTGAAGAGGCCAGGGTTGAATCCGAGTTGCTTGCCTGAACTGAAGTCAAAGTCACGTGGCTGTCACTGCTGTCCTGTTTCCAATTACTCAACTTGTATTAGCCAAACTGAATGAAGACTGTGCTTTTCTGCAGTGTATGCATAACCTTATGTTGATGCTAAACCAGAAATAGCTAAGACCCACGGACACTATATCTCACCTTCATTTCCTGAGGCCAGTGCCTTGTTCTGGTTGCTCAGGCATATGCTGCTAGCTGCGAAGCTTTCTCTGTCACACTGGGAGCTGCTGCTTAATTTCCTATAACAATTTTCCTGGCTTGGTTATGCTGACTATAGGAACTATCTGCAGAGAATTGCTGCTGCTAAAATTTCTGCCACTATCTTTCTTTGTGTAGTGATATGAGACTTTCATGCCTGCGTTAGTTTCTGCAGTTAATTAATCTAAGTCTTTCTAATACTTACTGTGGTAAGGATAGAAAAGCAATAAACAGTGCAGATAAGGGATGAAATGGTTTAATCTCATTAATTAACAAAATACAGAGTATCCAGGTACAAATATTACTCTTTTTCTAATCGTTGGGAGTTGGACGAGACACACAGAGCCAAGAAAATATATCTCGGCTATAAATGAAGGTATAGTTCAGTTAGTGTGTGGTTTTTTTTTTTTCTTTCCTGGTTTTAATAGCAACTTCACATCATAATTAGGTGGATGAAATTCCTGCCAGCCAAGTACATAGTTTGGACAGATTAGAGGGAAGAGGCATGAGAAATGATAATTGCTTTGTGCTCGTCAGACTTCTATTGAAAATCTGACAGGATAATTACAAAATACCTGCTTTGCAGAATGTCTAGGCAAATTTTTAAAGAGCTATTTAAAGTTGTTCGTTTACAGTCTGTCTGAAAAGAAAAGTTTTTTCCCCCTTTTTGAAGTAGTTCATTACCATTTAGATATGTGGTACATGTTCAAATATAGACCTTATTCTCACATGCATGCCTGGCTGCCTTCCACTGCCCACCCCCAAAGAAAATTGCCCATAATTTTTTGCATTACCCCACATACTTCACCCACATACTCACCCTTAACTTTCAGCAGAACATTATTTCACCTGATGGAAACTATAACCTTGTTGCTTTCAACAGTCTGAATCATAGTCATAGATAAATTAATTGAGAGAGAAATGTTCCAGTGGACTACACAAAAAACCTCTGTTTTGACTGACAGTAAAAAGTTGTTCTACTTTCAGCACGTTTTCATGTCTCATCACGTGGCTTTTCTTCACCTGCTTTTGAAACTTAAAATGACACTCACCAAATTGCCAATTTTCAAAGAATATTCTAGACGTAGGTGCCAAAGCCCTACTGATTTTGCTGAGAACTGAAAGACCCTGAAAGCCTGACTTTCTACTAAAGTTCACCATATGAGGTCATTTGGATCACAGGGCCACAGATACCTGCAGAAAGGCAAAAGAGTTGCTCTAGGCACCTGGTAGGCAGGGCTAGAGTTAGTGCAGGCTTTTGGGGGAAGGATGAAGAGACCTTGGTGAGTGGTGGACCTGTAACAGATGAAGTAGAGCCCACTAATACCAGTTGTTTCAAGTTCCTGCAATTCAATGTGAGTCATCCAGTATCATTGTTATATACAGTTGAACAGGGATGACTGACAGTAAAGTTGTTCTACTTTCAGCACGTTTTCATGTCTCATCACGTGGCTTTTCTTCACCTGCTTTTGAAACTTAAAATGACACTCACCAAATTGCCAATTTTCAAAGAATATTCTAGACGTAGGTGCCAAAGCCCTACTGATTTTGCTGAGAACTGAAAGACCCTGAAAGCCTGACTTTCTACTAAAGTTCACCATATGAGGTCATTTGGATCACAGGGCCACAGATACCTGCAGAAAGGCAAAAGAGTTGCTCTAGGCACCTGGTAGGCAGGGCTAGAGTTAGTGCAGGCTTTTGGGGGAAGGATGAAGAGACCTTGGTGAGTGGTGGACCTGTAACAGATGAAGTAGAGCCCACTAATACCAGTTGTTTCAAGTTCCTGCAATTCAATGTGAGTCATCCAGTATCATTGTTATATACAGTTGAACAGGGATGACCAACCTCCCAGCTACAAGAGCTAGACTTCTCTGTATGGAGGTACTGTAAGCAATATTTCATGATCCCCTGCCTTGTTGGATTGTGCAGCGCACAGATCAGCTAACCAGCGTGTACCAGACATGACCAGTGAGTAGCCTGCAGACTGGCCAGCTGGTTCTGGCAACCAGGGCAGGCTTTGAGTAACCACCCTTCCCGTGGATGCCAAGACCGTTGTGAGACCACATGTACACCTTTCATGTGACAGGGACACCTGAATTTTGGTTACGTCAGGAAACAGGACGTGGGGACTCCAGAAAGGATGACCATAGATGAACTGCCTTGCTGTAGGTAGCTGTAGTCAACTAACTGGTACATTTACGTAATTTCCCAAAGTGATGCTTTGGACCCATAGCTATAAGGTTAATTCTTGTAATATTTAAAGCTTACAGTTTGTATTTTTATATAAAGATAAAAGAATAAATAAAGTGCTGGGCGTATAATTAATTCTATATCATGTTCATTGGTACATTGAACTACATTGTTTCACAAGAAATGCACAGTACTTATTGTACAACAGCATTTTTTTATAGAACTCTAATTTCTCTCTTGCTTCTTTTTCTTTGAACAGTTTATGAAGAACCAGAAGACCCCAGTAACAGATCATTTTTTTCAGAAATTATCTCTTCAGTGTCAGATGTCAAATTCAGTCACAGCGGTAGATACATGCTAACAAGAGATTACCTCACTGTCAAGGTTTGGGATCTGAACATGGAAACAAAGCCTGTAGAAACGTACCAGGTAGGTATCTGCTACGTCTTGAAATGCAACAATATAAAAGCATCTCTATTCAGAACCTGAATATTTTCCTAAACTTCTCATTGCTAGCTAAGAGAGCTGCTAATCAAGGTGGTTAAAAACCTCATAGTGGTGTCCTTGTAGTTGCAAAAGGGCAATTTCAGCATCAGTAAGGAAGTGTAATGCCTGGGGAGTCAGAGTAACACTCACTGTGGATCGGGCCCTTAAAAGAGACAATGCTTCTAACAAGGAAAATAATCTCTTCACTTTGGCGTCTGTTTTCAAATGATGTATTTCGCTATTAACATTTAAAAGAAACTGAGGAAAGGATTTTGTGAGTTGCTTAGTATTCTGCTCCCATTGGGACTGCTGAGAGTTTACACCTTTGTCATTTCAAAACTTTTTTTTAAAACTTCATCTATGCATTTCTCCCTTGTGCCTAGTTCTAGAAGCGATCAGTGTTAAACCCTAACATCACCACTGACACAGCAGTTTGCGAATGCCAGACAGACACATCTGGTTGCCTGAATTCATTGCGATATTATCCAGACAAAATGCCGGTGGCTCCAGCCAGCACTGAGTTTGTACTCTGACATCTGTTCTGTTTGGCAATAGAGGGCTGAGCTTACATTTTTTTTGACTCTGCCTTGAAGAAGGAAAATATGTCTGTGACACAGAAACTGCTTGTTATGAAAATGCAATGAGAAAAAGCTGCTAAGCTACTACAGAAGAGTATGCAAAGTAGGAAAAATGTCATTCATCTGGCTCGTACTGGTTACGTAGAGACAGTCCTATGACACTGCTGGAACAATCCCTTGTTTCCTGTGTCTGTATAATGGCAGGTGGGGTACAGGAGTTCACAGTAACTATTGTTAAGATTGGTTTTAAAATAACATGTAATGAGAGTTTGGTAGTGTGACTTGTCAAAACAACCAAAATTTGACATCAGTAACATCAGAGGTGTTTATTAGCTAGCGTTTAGTAGACAAAGTGGGCCCTAGTGTTTTCCAGTGCACCCATTACATTTCGGTGGATACTCTTCAGTGTGTGTCTTGTTAGCATTGGGAAGTCTGAGCCTGTATACCTTTAAAACTACAGAATTGGTTTTGCTCTGAAAATGGCAATGCTTGTAATGCTATATGTGTTAGAAATGTTGATATGCTGTGAAAATGAAGTGGGAGGGTAAGGGCGAGACTGTGTTTTATATAACAGAAGCATACCTTAGATTTTATACTTATGATATTGGAGTAGGCAACCTTGTCCCTGGAGAGGAATAGCTGGTCAAGCCAACCTGTTTGTCTTGACTTTGACATCTGCTTTTATTTCCTTGTGTAGGTAGCTGTGAAACAAGCTGACCACCCTTAAGTCAGTCTAAACACCCAACAGTGGGGCCAATTAAAAGTTATATTTCTCCATGCTAAGATGTGGAAAATGAGTATAATGTAAATTTTTCAGTACTGATTATTGCAGTCAGAAGCTTATTAAAAAAAAACGACCCACAACAACAAAAACCCTGCAAATATAACAGTGTTCTTGCTGCCTTACTTTAACCTATGGATTGCATTTCATTTTCAAATACTTATCCAGTGCCTTGTAAAGAGTATACAGATGCATTGCTGAGCGTTGCTGCGGACTAAAGGAGAATCTGGAACTCAGGGGCCTTAGGAAGCCAATAGCACAGGACTGCATAGGAGTCACCCAGTCCAACTGCTCTGGGCAACTTTTCATGTTTTTCAACTGCAGAGAGTAGAGAATTCTGTTCTTAAGAAAAAGTGGTTTAAATTACTCTTTTAAATAATTTGTCTTGGAGGTATCTCTCAATCGCATACATAAATCTCATATATAAACTTGGAAATCTCTCAAAAAGTTTTTTGTGGTGGATCACCCGAAGGCAACAAATAAACCTAACATTTTCAGTTATGTATCCACATAATTATGATGATATGTATATCATTAAAAGATTAAAAGATATTAATTAAAAGATTGAATTTCTCATTTCATCCACTGCATGGTAGCCACTTAGATATTGTCTAGCTGAGAGACTCATGAAGAGGGTCACAAAAGGAGATTTCCCCACAGGGCTGTAAGAAAGAGCGAAGTCTATAACTGTACTGCTTCATTATCAGGTTACAATTTTAGCATCACAAAAAAAATCGAATTCCTCATGCAAGTTCTTTTCCTTATCAATGCTGTGGCTAAAAGTATGCTATTGCATAAAGCAGCCTTGCTGAAACACTTTATCTGCTGACAATGATTCAACATGATTTTCTCCTGTTTATGCTTCACATAAAAGAAAAAAGGGCAGAGTATGGTGCACTGGGCAGCACTAAAAAAGCAATACAGTGGAATGGCCAGTGTTTGAAAGTTGCAAGGCAGCCTTGCCTAATGGGATACTCTTTTGATGCTGCCCAGGTGAATTACCCCAGCAGAACCATACCAGCAGCAACCAGAGGTGAACACGTTCATAGCTGATAATAGCTTGATCCACTTTTGGCAAGGTCTGTTGCATAGGGATTTGGACTAATGTGTCACTTACCAGTGCAATTCCTGATTGTGACTATTCCATCCCAGTGAAATAGCTCCCCATGTAGTCATGTTGCTGTGTTAGTCTGGAGCACAGAATTACTAGATAATTCCGTGAAGGTCTGACCTAAAACTGTGCAGTGAAGAAAAGGAGAATGCCTTTTGTAATTAGTTAGGAATGAATTTGGTTGGGATTAAAGTACTATTCATATGTGGTAAGAACAATATGTAACAGTCAAGGCAAATGTGATTTTACCCTCAATTGGTAGTGGCAGATGAACATGCAAACAAGCTAAAAATGAAGTGTTTCTTCCAGTTAGTTTTTCATAGTCATTCTGAGGGTCTGAATGTGATCAAATGTGGTAAAGGGTCCACATGAAGAGCAAGATGGTTGTTCAAGGCAGTAGTGCAAGTTTGCAGGCAGAGTCAATCAAGAAAAAAGAGCCGAGACCTTGAAGAGATCAGTAAGAAATCTGAGAGAGGAACTTCAAAATGCTTTTTGACAGAGCTGATAGAAAGGCACAGCTCCAAGCTGTGGAGTTGGACACACTTCGCAAAGGGTGTATACGTGACAGTGGTCATGACAGATGGCTGCTGGCAATGGTAACAAGAAGACGACCCAGAAATGGCAGTCAATGAGGCAAATGCGATCTACTTCCTTCTCCTGCCTTACCCAACCTTTCTGTTTCTTCCAAGTGTTGGGAGCTCACAAAGATGATAAAGGAAAGAACTCCAGTTCTGTAACAAATTACACTGCTAACATAAAAAGGCTTTAAGTAAAGAGAAAATGAAAGGATTTAATTACAGAGGGTGCAAGAAACTGCATCAGTACTAAAAGCGTTCCAACCTATTACTCACCATGAGGGTAAATGCATTTAATTGTGAAATGTTTTATCTGCATCTATCATTTGCCTATTATTTGGTGTATAAGACATTATCTGTTGATATACAGCTCAGTGTTCACTCATCTATTAATGAAAATTGATCCATGATTAAAATTTGTAATCCTTAATAACCTTACGTTACAAATATTCTTAGGATACTGTACAATTTGGCTACTGAAAATGGGTTAGTTTAAAGAAAATATAAGTGAAAGGTCATCGTCCCTCGTCTGTTCTTGATAGAAGTTATCTTACTAGAAGAAATGTTTACGCCCTCAGGCCAGAGGAGGATGCTGAGCATCCATGAGCAGGAACAGTCTCCCTGGACTTGCAAGAACCAGTACCTCTGTATGCCAGAGCTAAATTATGCCCCTCGGCTATTGGATTGTTATGTGTGCTCGAGAGGCCATCTACACATCTTTGTTTTACAGTTTCTACAACAGCTAGAAGAAAACATCAGGAGTGAAAGTGCATTAGTAAATTCACTTAGGCAGGGATTTTCTAGCTCATTATTTCCTTGCGGCATAAAACCGATCATCCAGAGGGAAAACTAATCAAATTCAGCAAAGGATTGAAACAGTTTGCGTGAGATCTGTCTCTTTATGATAACCCTTGTTCAGCAGAGATGTGTGGCCCAGAGGAGAGGTCTTCTGCTGGTTAGTCCCACTTTTCAAGTATGTAAGTGAGAATTTACAATGTTGGTTTTAAGTCTCAGCCAAATAGGAGATATTCTTGGGCTAAATTAGTGTTCTAATTTGCAGCCTGTGCAACTGCAACCTTTTACTGTATTTGGCTTCTGAAATACCTTACCCAAATATATGTAATACCATATACTACAGGTTCTTTTAGTAGAGCCAAGTTCTTTCTGCCACAACAAGTGAGAGTCCACTTATCTTGGAATATGACATTTTTGTTACTATTTAAATTAGATTTCTTGCACATTAATTAGCACATCTAGGGTATCAGCTGGTGAAATGTCTTTGGGAATTAGGCTAGCACTGAGAAAATCACCCAAGCACAAAACAAATATGTTGAAGAGGGGTGGTCTGCAGCCTGCTGAGGGAGGTATGCTTCATGCCTTCCTGCAACAATAATTCTGTAGCACCTGGTTAATTGGGCTGTGGAAAAGTACGGATAGCTTCTATAGAGTTTAAACACAGTATCTTCTGCAAAGCTACCAATCCGTGCAGCATATTTTGAAGGTGAACGTGGGAGATAAAGCAGAGTGGGGGGCAGGTGGTTGTGGAGTTTTATATTTTGTTTTATTTCAAGAATAACAAGTTATTTTCTTTGAAACAGGTCCATGATTACCTTAGGAGCAAGTTGTGTTCCCTCTATGAAAATGACTGCATCTTTGACAAGTTTGAATGTGCATGGAATGGATCAGACAGGTAATCCATCCTTATGTCCATCACTGTCTTCATTTAGCAAAAGAGCTCCCATATGATGGGGAACAATCAGAAAGCAAAGTGTTACACATGGTTATTTTCCACATCAATTTACATCTTCACATATCAGTGTTCAGGTTGATAAAAGGTGTTTGGATATCGGTGCGGTTGTGTCTCTGACCTCATTAGACACGATGTATACCTTGTTAATCTTGGCTCATGCCTTAGGGGAAAAAACCCCTTCAAATTCTGTCCGTTTTCACCAAAATCATAAGTAGGCTGCAAAAGTTAAAAAGAATGCTGCCAAGTTGCACAGCCCCACCAACACACTAAGGAAGCTTGTGTGATCCTGTATTTACACATGAGCTGCCTCAGAAATCCAGTTCATTTACTGGAAACAGGGAGCGAGGAAAGGCAGTCACAGGCACCCACTGATTCTCCACAAACTGCTGCCACCTTCCCACTGACCGAAGTAACAGTTTCTTCTGATACCTACCCCCATCAGAGCAGTCCATTCCCTGTGCACTGAAGGAGAGGTCCTGGTTTTTATCTTGGACGTAATATCTTGTTGAATATTTTAATAAGAAATATTGGCACAACAAGTCACAGAGTGCGAGCGAGAATGAAATGTGCTAATGCCATAATGTTAGCAAGTGGTGGCGGTACTTTGGGGAGTAGGAATATTCTACAGGAAGAACTGAGCAGCCGAGAGGACTGGGATAATAAAAATGGATGAAATCCAAGAGTATAATGCAAGATGACAATTTTAGTTAAAAGAAAACACAAGCCTTCATCTTATCAGTTGGAAACAACTCACAGGGACATTCATATGCTAGGTGACTGTGGAAGGGGTTAGCAGTCTACAAAATGCATGTGAAAGAGAGCACAGGAGCCAATTTTGAATGGCACACAGTGACTTCTGGCTCAGCAGAGGTAGGAGCCAAGAGGCAAAAGTTTGGCACTTGCTGAGAGCCTGGACCTATGCCTTCAGCTCACTTAGCCTTTCATTTGGGAAAGAGAAAAATGGTCCGTCTCATTGTATTTGAAGCAGGCCTGCCCCCCTGGACTGGGCAAGGACTATGAAACAGAGTGTGGGGCAGCTGTGAAAAAGGCAAATAAGATCCTTAAATGGGCAAGACTGGGATATCCAGCAGAGAAGGGAGTAGTGGTGACATTATGTTAGGGTCTTATTCAAAGATCTTTGGACTGCAATTACACATTTCTTGTCCCTCACCTCCAAGGTGGATGAACTAATTGGGCAAATGGACAGCTGCTCTAAAGAGAGGAGAGGGCAGGAGTTTGGTTTTGATCAGCTTAGCAAAAGAGAAGCCAAGATTATACTTGCTTCTAGTAAGTATATCAAGCAGGTATACATAGGGAGGAAGAGGATCTAGCTAAGATAAATGTGAATGATCATGACAGAACAGCAAATAGGTATTGAGTGACAACAGGTAATCATAGCCTGGAAATTAGAGGTAGTTCATACCTGTTCAGACAGTGACAGTGTGGAGCAGTCTTCCTGTCCTGAGTAGTGGAGATGTAAGAAACCCAACTCTTTTGATGATGGTGCTCAGGAAATTTGTGAAAGCAGCAATATGAGACATTGGTTAAAATGACAAGTGTCTGAACTTGGAAGTGCAGAACAAGGTCTCTTCCAGTCCTGTGTTCCACAAATGCAGGTAAAGTGTAATGCTGTACACTGTGCGAGGGGCATCTTCTCTTTGGACTGCTTTCCTTTGCTCAGTTCCTGTACCTGCCCAATGGAGAGATTCTGTCTTTACTAAGAAATAAAACTTTTACCTTGTATCATTTATTATGCAAATGAAACCATATACTTCCATTATCTCTGTTGTCTGCATGCCAGGGTAATGTGTTTTCTGACAAGGATTAACTCAACATTGAGTATCCTCTGTGATACAAACTGCTGGCCATTTAAAATGACATAGGTGGACCACACTGGGCAAAATCCTTCCCAGATTGCTATGACTGCAACTTGGGCACCAGCTGTTGTGGAAATGGCTTTGATATGGTCAGAAAGTGGGAATGACCAACAGAAGTTTTAGGGGAAGATCCAGGTTTTGGAGCTTTTCTCTGAACCTCCCAAGTCCATGCATGAATGGATGTTTTAGCAGAGGATTGTCTCAGTAGACTGGTTACTGCTTGAGTTTGGTCCTACTGGAAATACCAAAATAAAAGCTTTCTTGGAAATATGGATGGTGCTGATCCCTGCCTAAATCTGGCACTGAACAGCGCAATCAAATCATTTAGATATTGTGAAACTTTGTCAAAGATTCAGGGCTTTTTAAGTCCTTTCAAAACATTGTGCTTATCCTTGATGGGAATTCCCAGTGCATTGTACAGGATGGACAGCCACATGTTCCCAGGACTGGAATCTTTCTCCTGTATTTGAATGAAATGCTGCCATCCTCATTAGTGCGGTAAGACCACTCTGGATAGTTGCCTGGTAATAATAGAAATATTATTCAATATCAGGATTTAAAGTGAGCGTAGTATTTTCGTTCCTACTTGACAGATCAGAAAGATCAATGCAGTGAGTAATTATTAAGTGGGAACATTAGATTGTGGGGGCTTCATTTATTGTACTGCCCAGACACTGGGGCGTTGTTAGTCATGCACAATTACCAAACCCGTCACTAAGCACAATACACTGCTCTTGATTGTAAGAAACTGTTGAGTAGAGTAGCTGGCAACATTTGACAGAAGATAAGGGTTCTCTTCAATCTCGTTGTTTCTTTTTAAGAGTCAAATGTATCAGCACTGATGTTCATTTTTTGGTGAACACTCTTCTGAGGTTCTTGCTTGTGTGTATGACAAGTATAGGATTGTTTTGCTACGCACTACAAGGATTGGGATGAACACTCTTCTGAGGTTCTTGCCTCATACTATGACAAGTATGGTATTGTTTTGCTACGCACTACAAGGATTGGGTTTTTTTGGTGGATCATAATTTAAATTATAGTTTTGTACCAGTAACTCTTAAAGAACAGTTCATTCAAATACTGAGGTCACTTAATTTGATCCTTTTGGTATGTATTTTTTTCAAAAGGACTACTGCTAAAGGCAGGCAATGCCTATTAACAGTGGTACTCTTAAGAGATGCTGCAATAGAATATTTATATAACAGTATACATAACACTAATAACTGCAGCTCTAAACACGTTATTTTTATCTTTTGCAGACTTTAAAGCTACAATGACAATTTAAGTGACAGGATTGTTCAGTTAAAAATGAAAGCGTATTTATTATTTAGGTGAAAATACTTTTTATTAATTTTTGTCATTATTAAGGAGTTAATCTAGGCTATGATAGAACCTGATGATGAGGCTGTTTACGAAAAAAAATCAATGTACGTGAGCTCTGATTAGAACGTGATTGATGCTCAGTTACTCCAATGAACAGGAACTAATACGATCAGACAGAGCTGATCTCATTTGCTGAAGGGCACATTAATCACTATGTACTTTGGCAACAACAGTGGTCAGAGGAGGGAGTCAAGCAGGGGTCTTACACTAATTCAACCAGATGAGCACATATTATCTGTAGTTGAGTATATTACACTAAAATCATGCCATCTTTATTGTATATACATCATTACACGACTATGTAGAATATGTGAGCCCTATTTATACACCGATTTAATTTAGTTCTTCTGAAGTCAGGTCTTTTAATAATGACCCACAAGACACTGTTTTCTCGCTGTCAACCATACCCATTTTGCTATTTCAGTTTTACCTCAAAAATTAGCACTTATGGAGCTGTTTGTGAGTTACAGAAGCCAGTAAAAGAAAAAAATAGTGTAGTAATTCTACATGGTAGTAAGCAGATACCTTAATTACTATTCTTTTTTTTTTAAGTTTTCAAATGAATGGGTGTATGGGAACCCTTCCAGGGAGACTTCTGAATACCATCATGATAAGTGATATGCTGTAAGCAGATGAGTGAAGTCACATACAACTGTTCAGTCAGTCCTTTCCTACTGAACTGTCATTCATCCCACTGAATATCCGTCAGCCTTCACTCTAATCAGGCGGAATTGGCAGGTCCCAGTGGATGAGATGTTAACAGTCTATTCCTGTCTGGCAGCATGCTCCATGCTGGAGAACTAGAAGACATCATTTTGTTCTCAAGGCTCGGCATGTCAAATATTAGCTTGGAAGGAATTGGGGATCCCCTGTTGTTATTCCCAGTCTTATCCCAGTCAGCTGTACTGGAGTGCCACAACCCTGAATCCGGTGTCTCAAGCTTTCCCATCGGCATACTCCCCAGGAGGTTTAAAGAAGTTCCTTCTTTGTGATGGGGAGTCAGTTGCTGCACACAGCGCAGAATAAAGCAAAATTCCCCAGTATGCCAACAGGCCCCCACTGTTTGCAGCAGTGCTTCCTCCTTTCCCTTTGTCATAATAAATCTCATAATAAATTCCCATGAAAAATGTTTTTGAAGAGTTTTCCTGGAATCAATCCTTTCTTCTCATAAGGTCAGCTTGTCACAAAACCAGATCTGGTGGGCCTTGCTTGTCAGTCCCAGGAGACTGCAGATGTGCTGTTCTGCACTGGTACACATGCTAGTGAAATCTTGCAAATTTAGGGGCTCAAAATATAATTGGGGAGATGGTTTCAGGTCAAAGAAATGGTCCCTTTTCATGCTGGGTGCCTTGAGGGACTACTTTGCAGAGATTTAAAAGTCTGGAGGCAGGCTCTGATGGAAGCTGCTCTGAGTCTCCTCCCCTCACACTTGCTTGGATTTGATGTCCTGCCTCTCTTGCTGCAGGGAATGAAGATCTGCTGCCACATTTGCAGTGAGGGGCAGGTTAACAAGGCTGGCTTAGTTTTTCTATCATCCTTAAGCCTGGCATGCACTGGTCCTTGAAGCCTGCCCAGCCTTAGTCCTGTCACACCATCCCATGGCTTCCATGGGCTCTTGAGCAACAGTGGAGGGGGGAAACTATGCCATGAGCTGATTTCTCCAGACAACAGAAATCTGCA